TGAGGTCAGCTTCACACTGCTGCCTATGGTCGCGAAGGCATCTGCCAAGACACCGCCAGTAACACCACAGTGCCACGCCAAGGCCTCAGCAATTTCCCCCCATGAAGGGTGGCAAGAAGGGGCAGAATCGATTCCGCCCATATGGCAAAGGAAAAGGGAAGTCAAAAACCAAGTTTGATTCCAAAGTCCCAAGTGAGATACGTGCAGCAGGAGGTACAGCCTCAACGCCAGATGGAGATCCAATTTGCTTTGATTACTCCCTCAAAAAGTGTAAAGAGACCGTGACTGAAGGGCGTTGCCGAAAGGGGTACCATGTGTGCTGTATTTGTTATGGCCCCCATTGCATGATGAACCATAAAAAGGCTTGACTAGCCGAGGCTGGACGAAGATCAGTCAAAAGGAAATCTCACCCATGTACAGAAGTGCCTGTCGAGCAGCCTAAAAGGGACGAGCCCACCACCGTCCAAACATCTAAGCGGCCTAGGGCCCCCCTTTGAACACAAGCACTTGCCAGTTTTCACAACCACTTGACGAGGGTCAAGTTAATTCATGCCAGTCTTCCAATAATACATGTCGCACAATTGTTGCTGGACCCCAACCTTTGCGCTCTGAGGCTTTCCCAGATGGCCTTGCTTCAATGAGTTTTCTTAATAGGTGCAGAGTCAAATCGGCTAATGCCCTTTACAGATTCATTGCTGATGTGGCATGGTTTTGCCTTGACCATGCCATGGTAGTTGTCATGGAGAACCCACGCTCATCCTTGTACTGGCGAACTTCCTTTTTCGCACCAATACGGAAATGTTTAAAGTTCGCGGCCCAGCAAGCTTGTGCTTATGGCTCGGAGCGTCCTAAATGCACTGAAAAGCTCTCCACTGCAGAGGAGACGGCCTATCCCATGTTGTTAGCATATACCATGGCATATGCTATTGTACAGCACCTAATGCACAAGGGTTGGCAGTCGCCACCATCACATCTGACACCGCCTGACAGAATGTCTTACCAGTACCTGCGTGCAATTGTTGGCTCCCAGCCCAAAGCCAGCACGCTCCGACATTGCTGTCCGAGTCTGATTCCATTGTCCGTGTCCCAGTGTCCTTGTCCAGTCCCCAGGTAGAAATTGGACAGTTGTTGCAGCAGCCGTTTGCCAATGTTCCTGCTGGAGCCAGACTCCTCAAACGACCGCCTTTACGGTTAAATGGGGATAGTAATGACTGTAATAATGGCCCAGTTTACCTTGACTGTGGGGATAACCTTAATGATGATAACACTCATTGGGCTTACTTTGGGGTTTACCGGTCTTGTAAAGCCTCTGTCGAAACTGCAGTTAAAGCTGGACACCCAGTTGCAAAAGCCAACCGCCTTCCCATGGTGGTGCAAGAAGTTGTTGATGCCATTTCTTCCAAACAAATTTTTCAGCTTGCAAAGGAAAGACATGCCACCTTGTCTTATTGGCTTGACAGAGCAAAAACCCTCAGCCCAGCTGAATGTTGTTTGCATAGTAGCCTGCCTGGAACCCTCGGCAAGATACTCGCCCCGATGAGATTGCTGTTGTGGAAAGCGATGCTTATCCATTATGGTTACCCAGATGTAGAGGTTTTTGACGAAGTGGTTAGTGGGATCCACCTTGCTGGTGCTGCACCCACGGTTCCATTCTTCAACCCTTGTTTTAAGCCCGCAAAGGTTTCCACAAGGGAGCTAGCGGATTCTGCCAAAGCATCCCGCGGCGCAGTGCTCTCATCAATTCGCTCTTCTGGGGACCCTGAGATTGATGCGGCTGTCCTTGAAAAGACAATCGAAGAACTGAGTCGCGGCTGGCTGGCCGGACCTTTTGAGGTGGAGAGCGCTTCAAAGCTACACACTCTGGATGTGGCTGCAGCGCTTTGTTTGGAACTGCTGAAGACATCTAGCCATGATTGTGGCTCGGCAGGACTTTCGACCTTGCATCAGCATATAGGCAACTTGGGGTCGCACCTGGCTCCTATTGGGTTTCCTACACTGCAGTGTTTGACCCCAACTCGCAAGAAATGAAAGTGTTTGCTATGAGGGCCCTCCCGTTCGGAGCCAGCCGTTCTGTTTACGGATTCCTGAGAGTGTCCCATTCGCCTTGGTGGCTGGGGTGCAAAGCCTTAAGTGTTGCCTGGAGCAAATTGTTCGATGATCCTATCACGTTTGCAAGAAAGCAGGAGACTGAGCTGGTCTCTGTTGCGGCCCTACAGTTCTTCAAGCTCTCGGTTGGGGTGTTTCGCTTGGAGAAAAAGACCTGCCACTTGCCGAGAAGTTCAAAGCCATCGAAATTTAAATCGACTGCACTAGGTGGCAAGATGGTGTTGTCGCTGTTGCCAACACTGAAAAACGGACATAGGAGCTGGTGGCAACCATTGACGACATTATCTCCACTGCCAAGCTTACTGAACAAGCAGCATTGGTTCTCCATGGAAGGATGCAATTTGCCAAAGCTCTGTTGTGGGGAAGGGCAGCCAAGCTCTTCCTCACCGCGATCACAGCACATGCCTTTGGTCTTGATGGCGGCGTTCCGAGCGACCGCACCCTTGCCTTCCTAAAAACCCTTAGGGAGCACCTCTCGCGGGCGAGACCTAGGTTAATAACAGCTGCCTCTCTCGCCCGAGAAGGTAGAGTGGCCAGCTGGAATAGGCGGGGTGTTGGTCGACTCACATGGTAACCAGTTGAGTGCCTTTTCATATGAGCTTGCGATGACTGACTTGTTGGCCTTGGAGTACCCTCTTAATAAATATGTTATCTTAGAAGCTGAGCTTTTGGCACTCCTTGTTTCCTTTGCCTTATTCCAAAAGAGTTTTGAAAGGGCGGCCGTGCGTAGCCTACATTGACAACAACTCGACCAGGGATGTTAGCATAAGTGGTGCTGCCCGCACCTCCCCAGGGGATAGCTCAATTGGCCAGCTGCTCGGGGGCGATGATTCCTGCAGTTTCATACCTTGGTTTGCCCATGTCCCGTCACAGGGCAATATAGCAGATGGCCCGTCACGGGGGTCAGCGGATGAACTGAAAGTTAAGCCCCTGTCACCGCATTTGGTAGGTCTCGTAGTTGCAAAGTGCCTGAAAAGCCTCCAAACAACTCCGGATAAGAGGGGGTGAAAGTTGAGAAGTTGATTGAACGATGCAGACGCAGTTGTGCTGCATATTTGGTATGGAAGGACCTGGGACAACCAGGATTTTTGCTACAGTGTGTTTGCCTGCAGTCCTTTCGCGGCTGCATGACCATGGATGGCACAGATGGATGTTTACATGTCGGTCGAAGCGACCATCACCTGCACTCTCGACAATTCCCAACGTTGTCGGCCAAAAAGAAGTTGAGCGCCAGCCGAGTGATGTCGTTCAGTGCTTTCTGTTTTGCTGTGTTTTTGGTTTTTGGTTTTTATGTTTTGGTTTCCCGTTTGTAACGAGGAGGTATTGACTGGTAGGCGGCGTAAGCGGGAATTTAAGCTTACGGTCAACGTGTTGATAGTGCATTAAATTTCAGCTGTAGAAAAGTTTGCAAACAAACTTTTAGCCTACCAGTCTTACCTGAAATTAACAACGTGCCCTCCGCGTTTGCCAAACCTGGTGCACCATTTGCACAACTTGCAAGATCGAACAAACTTGCCCGGCTCTTGGATAATGCCATTATCCAAACCGTGTAACAGTACAACAAGCGCTGCAATGCCTGAACCGAAAACATGCCCGGCTCTTGGATTTCACACCACGAATCCAAACCGTGTCGTGCTAAACAGAACCTTTTATTCAACTTGAACAAACTCTGTTTTCCATTTTTGATGTTTACAGCGATGTCGTTGAAACAGCAATCTGGTGGATATGTTGAAATGTGAAAACTGATGAATGTTTGTTCTCAAGTTGCCTTTTCGCTTCAAGGGAAAATTTTTGATCCCACCCGTTTTGCAACTTCCCGCCCTGGGAGAGATACATATGCAGGCACCAAACATCGTGGACTTCGCTGTCGCGACGTCCATCGGAGTCATGTTCTTCCAAGGACGTGATACAGACACCAGAGTTCGTCAGTTTGAGCAAATTGCGGAGGCATGCTTACGTCTCCTACAACACCTGGGCCGTCCACCCTACCTTAAGTCGATCTTCGACTTGTGGGTGACGACAGCCGCTGCATTGGCGCAGCTTGAAAGCATGCTCTTTCCCACAGAGCCGGTCCAGACTCCGACTCATTTGACATCCCCTCCTGGTTGGAGACCGCTTTCCGCGGTTTGTGAGCCACCGTTTCGGGTTCACCATGCAATGCTGCGTACTGGCCGTGACAATTTGCAGCAATTTCGCATCTGGTTCGGGGACCAATACGACATCTATTTACACCACGAAACGTTGCATATGCTGGACGATGCTTTATTATTAATGCAGTCGGCTGAACATTTCCTTCAAATCGAGCTGCCACCGACTGCCACTGACCCTGGTGATGTCCCTGACTCCACCGGAGGGGTCACTACACGACCTACATCAACTCCCGATGTGCCGCACCGACAGGTGCCTCCTCCAGACCCTTGGCAGGGTGAAAGTTGAGAAGTTGATTGAACGATGCAGACGCAGTTGTGCTGCATATTTGGTATGGAAGGACCTGGGACAACCAGGATTTTTGCTACAGTGTGTTTGCCTGCAGTCCTTTCGCGGCTGCATGACCATGGATGGCACAGATGGATGTTTACATGTCGGTCGAAGCGACCATCACCTGCACTCTCGACAATTCCCAACGTTGTCGGCCAAAAAGAAGTTGAGCGCCAGCCGAGTGATGTCGTTCAGTGCTTTCTGTTTTGCTGTGTTTTTGGTTTTTGGTTTTTATGTTTTGGTTTCCCGTTTGTAACGAGGAGGTATTGACTGGTAGGCGGCGTAAGCGGGAATTTAAGCCGTGTAGCTAGTCTTGCTGAGTTGCAGTTTGATGTGGTGTGAATTCAGTGTGATCAAGCGAGAGTTCGGAGTTTTAGTCCTGCTAAGTAAGCGCCGTCCATTCCTCTCCTTCGGAAATGGGAAGTGTGACTGACGTCCAAGAGGGCACGTTGGAAAACGTGGATGCCCCTATGGGAACTCCGGTTCCTGCTGCCGTTGTGAGTTCGCCCCATGGAGGTGAAGATACAGAATCGACCAAGGAAGTGGGAGAGGAAGCTGGACAGCCTCCAAAGAGAGAATTTACTGAGAGTTCTGTGCCTGAGGTGGATTCAGTGCCTACCAAGAAACTGAAGGAGGACCTTTCGGAACGGATCCCCGCTTTATTAGTGAAAGTGGAGGAAGGATTCTCCCTGACTGGAGAGGCACGCCAATCAGTTAAACAACACTTGGAGCTGCATCGACAGGTCGCTATGGACTTGCAGAACTTAGCGAGTGAGTACCATCAAGACCGGACATCTTCAAAGTACTCTCTGGCTCAGATCCAGTCGCTCATCGAGAAGATGAGTAACTTGGATTGGCAGGTCAGTGGACCTAAGAATGAGCAGCATACATCGCTGAAGAGTGTATGTAGTAAAATACTCACTCAAGTCTCAGGTATGCATACCAGCTTAAAGCAGGTGGCAGCCTTACCAGAGGGCGTGCCTGCAGCGCCAAGTGTGGAGACCGGGAACTTAGAAGTTGAGGCAAAGGAGTCAGCTGATGCAGGGGAAAGAAACTTTCCCGTAGAGACAGAGGAGGGTAAGCGCACAGAGATCAATGCAGAGGGAGAAAATGAACCACCCAACAAACGACCTACGGTGGAGTTGGAAGATGAAATCCGCGAGCTTTTGAGCAAAGTCACTGAGGGGTTCAGTTTGACGAAATCTGCCTTAGAGAAGGTGCAACAGCACCTTGATCTTTCCAAGGCCACTTCCTCAGATCTCTCCCAACTGGCAGCTGAATTCCATCACGAAACTGTCAGCGCCAAATACAGCCTGAGTCAAATACAGGCCTTATTGACCGCAATGCAAAACCTGGATTGGCAGCTGACGGGCAGTAAGTCCGAAAGCCATACCACGGTGAAATCGATCCTGAACAAGCTGCTGAACCAAAATACCAATGCTGCGGGTCATCTGAAGGCCATCAGGGATGATCTCAAAGGAGGGCTAGAAGCCATCTTGAAAGCTTTGACGGAAGGGTTTGGCGATTTGAGCACAGCATTTGCTGCGGCAGGAATTGCTGGAATGGGACCTGGACCTGGAGCTGCGGCACCAAGCGTCCCACAGTACGGGCAGCCGGATTGTGGATCAACTGGATCCGCATCAGGGTTTCCACCAGCTCCTGTGCCGCCTATGACCGCCGCAGGCAAGGCGCATGCACCGCCGACTGCCGCAGTCATTCCTGCGATACACCAAGTAATCATAGCTGATGGTGCGACTGTGGCCGTGTAGTATGGCCGTCACATGCCCCAGTTTGAAGCAACTGGTGGGCAGAACTATGGATGACTGCAGCTGGAGTGAGTGGCAGTAGGGTAGAATAGATGTTTTGTCTCGAGGTTCAATACCTCTTGGGGTATAGAATAGGCACTGCGTCTCGAGGTTCAACCCTGTTTGCCAGTAACAGCTGGTCTCTGTCGAAGCTTGGATTTGGGAGTTCAAACAGTTTGCAATGCAGAGACTTGCAAGGGGTTGCAAACCACTTGAACTGGATTGCGCAATTTGTCATTGTACTTGTTTGCATTTGAATTGTGATCGTTTTGCATTGCAAGGGCAAGGGGTTGCAGAAGCCGTCCAACAACAATAACAGAAGCTGTCTAGGAAACAGTTGCCAGGGTTTCCAGTTTTGTTTCCAGAAACAGTTCAACTGTTTTGCAGAAGCCGTGCAAGTATACTGCAGAAGCTGTTAGCATGTTTGTAGGTTTTTGTCAGTTGAAACAGTTTTGGAATCTTCATTTCCTGTGATGTCAGTTCATGTGATGTTCATTTCACTGTTTTGGGATTTGATGTCAACAGTTTTCATTTGTAACTAGTTTGATGTCACTTGCATGCAGTTGGACACATGTGGACTCATTGGACTCTGTTTGCAACAGTTTTCCAGTTGTCATGGTGTTGTAGTTTAACTTGTCGACAGTTTTCACTGCTCTGTTTTTTGGGATGGTCTTGCAATGTTTTTGTAGGTAACTTGAACGTTGTTGTAACCTTGTTGCACTAAGGTATGAAGATGATCCAATGATGTAGCTGCCAAGGGGTCATGAGAAAGATGGCATAGCCACATGAGACACCCCTGCAGCTGAGGATCATAACATGTTTGTTTGTAGTATGTTTTGGAACTTGGTTGAAGTTGTCTTGTACTTGAACTTGACTTGGACTCTTCTGGAACTGTGTCTGTCTTGAGTTCTGGTTCTGGTGTTTTGTCAGTCTCTGTACTTTTCTATGTGCTTGTGTGCCGTCCTTTTTCTTCTAGGGCCTGCGGTTTGGTCTTCTTTGGATGGACTGCCTGTGCAAGATTTGTAGTGGGAAGCTTAACGCTCAGGAAGTCCAAATTTGCAGAACTGGAAGGTCTTGCAAAGGCCGTGCAATCTGATGCAACTATGTTGTCATCAAAGAGTACCAGGAATACACCAGTGCCTTTTTGACAAAGGCAGTGCAAAGCTCAGCTACCAGAAGCTTGGGCTGATTACCAAGGGTTCAAAAGACAACACCTCCGAGAAACTTCTTGAGCCTGTGAAGTTTAGAAGCCAAGGTTCCAAGTTGAAAAACATTTGAGAAACAGATTTGAAACGTTGTTTCAGTTTGTTGGTTGGGTTTGTTTGGATGATCCTAGCTTGAGGGGCTTAGGGTTCCCAAGGTCCCAGGCCAGAGGCGCAGACACTTGGTACCCTTTGGGGGTCTATCCCAATACCCATAAAATCTGGACACCAAGGGCCATATCCAGAGGACAGACCATTGGTGCCAGTTCCCCTTACTTAGATGGGATGATGATGACAAACGTGAGACAGTTTCAAATACCAAGGTTTCCAAACGACAAACGTTTTCAAACAAAACTTTGTGAAGAAGTTGTGAACTCAGTTTCAAAGTTGTGGGTTACTCAGAAAGATGGGGTATGGTTGTTGGTTACGTTGTTCCGCTGCCATTGCCCTATGATGAGCAAAGGTGAAGCCAAAGAGACTTTGGTCTCACAAAATATTCACCTGGTCTGAGGGCACCATTTAAACCCAGGGCGTTTCGAGTTTTCTGTGCGCTAGTTCCTAGCTCAGTTGTTGAGCATGGATCTTAGTTGGTGATGTCTGGAACTTAGTTGTGTGGGTTCAGAACTTAGTTGCCTTACAAACGGTATGGTAGTCCATAGGTACTTCGGTGTACAGCACTACTGTCCAAGAAGGGGTGTGAAATTTGGTGAGGGGATGTACAGTGTACTGAACCACCTTGAACCTACTTGAACATCTTTAAACCTATCTTGGAACAATGCATGCGCATGTGAACGGTTAGGAGACCATTTTAAGTTTGTAGGAACCGATCTGTGAACTATAGAACCCATAGGAACCTATAGGAACCAGGTAGGAACCAATTTGGAACCAAATGGAACCAGTTTGTGCATGGAAGAGCCTGGAGATGAATTTTCGTTTGTTTTTGTGGTTTTGGTGTTTTTGGATGTTGTTTGACCCATGTCTTAGGAACTTGATGTTGTGAACTTATTTGGTAGGAGTTTTGTAGGTTATTTGTGAGTTTGAGCTGAAGACGTTTTATTTGGAGCTGGAAGAACGTTTTTTAAGCTTGAGAACTCTTTTGAAGTAGTTTGAGAAGTTTGAAGACGTTTGAGTGTCACTGCGTTTTACTCTGCACGACTCTTCTAAGAAGAAGAGTGACTGAGCTGTCAAACCTGTGTGGTTCGGCTCAAGTCCGAGCTGTGAAAAAGAGCTGCCACGCCGCTCTCGTGTTTTCACAGTTTTGGGCTTGTTCCCTTTTCATCCTTTCCCAATGGATGAAAATTTTATCTGAGTATTTCGCTGGTTTTGATCTTGGTTGGGGTCTTCAGGAACGCCGATTTGAACCGGTTGATCAGTTCTGAAGAACAAAAGCGACGGCGCCTACTAGCAAAAAGAACATTTATTGAAGTGTGCTTTCAAGTTTTTTCCTGGTCACTGCTTTTCTTCAAAGTATTTCAGGGAAGCTGCTTTTGTCTGAAGGCACGATTGCCTGCCAGCAGTGACGACGACAACGTTTTCTCAAACGCCGAGCGTATGCGACTGCAGCGTGGCAATGAAAAAACAAAGGCTATTGAGTGAACTTTGCGCTGGGTGTTGGTATGGGTGGGGGCGGGTGAATATAGCTGGCCGTCGCTATGTCCTGATGATGAACCTGCAGCGCGCTGCACTGGCCTTTATTGTCCAGCGCTGCTCTCTGCAGTGAAATCTCAGTGCGCCTCCGTGCAGCAAAGCCTGCCCTCATGGCTCGTCGGTTCGTGCTTGTAAGGTGCTGCTTTGTCACGTCACTGGCTATAGAAGTCTCCGGCATTCGGGAGATGTTTTCTACCATGGTTGCTTTTCATGCGCTCGGCTGCTGGTATAGTGTGTTGCGGTCACCTATGTGAGGTGAAGATCTTTGCGAGGTTGCTGAACAGCCCCCTGGTATGCATGTGATGCATTGACGTGCACAGCCGTGGCAGCACTTTGGCCTTGCCACTCAGCTGGTGGTATGGCCCTTTATTGGCACTTCCACGCATTTGTCTGACCATTTCCTGGTCTTTGCCCCCTAGGGGGGCGTCATCCCTTGGATCCCCTTGGGGTGTTGCATGTTTATTGATGCAGCGCTATGCAACGATTGGAATGCACAGGAGCTTCGTCGTATTGGTACAGACACGAACACACTGCAACTGATGACCTGAGAAAGAACGCCTGAGCGGATTCTGAGAGGAATGGGTCGAACGTGTACAGGTTGTCTCACATTTTCATTTCGCTGTATTTGCCGGCGAACCCCCCAGTTTTTGACGATCGAACCTCGTTTCGTGCGAAAGGGTTGCGCGGAGCAACTTGAAATTGCAATTTTACCTCAGTTTTTGATGATCGAACCTCGTTTCGTGCGAAAGGGTTGCGCGGAGCAACTTGAAATCGCAATTTTACCTCAGTTTTTGATGATGGAACCTCATTTCGTGCGAAGGGGTTGCGCGGGACAACTTGAAATCGCAATTTTACCGCAGTTTATGACGATCGAACTTCATTTCGTGCGAAAGGGTTGCGCGGGACAACTTGAAATTGCAATTTTACCTCAGTTTTTGACGATCGAACCTCATTTCGTGCGAAAGGGTTCGCGGGACACCTCGAATCGCAATTTTACTTCAGTTTTTGACGATCGAACCTCATTTCGTGCGAAAGGGTTGCGTTTCGTGCCGTCTCGTTGGCACTGCCCCTGCCCCCGCCTCCAGAAGAGAAATAGAAAACAAGGAGAGGGCAAGAGGGCAAGAGGAGAAGATGTGAAGATGTGAGGATGTGAAGATGTGAAGATGAGAAGATATGAAGATGAGCAGATGTGCAGATGTGAAGATGTGAAGATGTGAAGGTGAGCAGCTGTGAAGATGAGAAGATGTGAAGATGTGAAGATGTGAAGATGAGAAGATGTGAAGATGAGAAGATGTGAAGATGAGAAGATGTGAAGATGAGAAGATGTGAAGTGAGAAGATGTGATGATGAGAAGATGTGAAGATGAGAGGGTGTGAAGATGAGAAGATGTGAAGATGTGAAGTGAGAAGATGTGAAGATGAGAAGATGTGAAGATGAGAAGATGTGAAGATGAGAAGATGTGAAGATGAGAAGGTCTGAAGATGAGAAGATGAGATACAGACCCCCACTATTGGAAGAACCCTGCGCTCAGACGCTCTCGGGAAAAATGCCCGGTTCCAGAAAGATTTCAGCAATTCATTCCACACATCGACTACAGCATTGATGAAGAGCACGAAAAGTTCGATGAGAACAAGTCCCAGTTCAACAATTACTTCATCAATGTTATTAAGAACTTTGGAGGACATCTCTTCATGTATTGTGAAGCCGGTTCACTCTATCCTCACAGAGAGCGTCTCGAAGAGGTACAGATGAGAACTTGCTTCAATGACTATCATAATTTGATGGTGGCAGCTCGCATAGGAAAAGACCGCTATATCAGGCAAATTGCTGGATATTGGACCGATGAAAACGACACACGGGTTCGACAAGTCTCCTGGGCAATCTTTGAAGCATCTTGGGGAAAGACAAAACATCGTGATACAGAAGAGATCGAAGATTTGTCAAGAGCCAGGATGAGAATGACACGTGTGTGTGTTTATCACGTTGGACAGAAATATGCATCAGACTCCCCTGGTATTGTTGGTGAGTGTTTACTATGGCTTTCGAGTGTGCCAGATATCAAGTAGATATCATCGCAGGTGATGGAAACAAGGCATGCTACTACACCACACGAAA